GCAGGCATTGCTCAGCTGCAGGCATTGCTCAGCTGCAGGCATTGCTCAGCTGCAGGCATTGCTCGGTGCTGCAGGCATTGCTCAGAGCTGCAGGCAGGGCTTGCAGCAGATGTTGCTCACTGCAGGCATTGCTCCAAGCTGCAGGCAGAGCTGGTGCCAGCCCCACTCAGCACTGAGGGCTGCTGAGCACCTTCTCCTGCAGTCCTGGGCTTTAAGTTCCCCAAAACAGCACCAGCAGCCTGAAAACTTTGGCCCTGCCTTTGGGTTCTGTGGTTTCTCAATAGAGAAGCATTTGGGTGGTGGTGAAGCAGTGACCTTGGCACTGACTGCAGCAGGGATGGAAGTGATGAGTGTGGGCTGTTTTGGTGCTTTCTGAGGGGCTGCCTCAGTTGGGGTGGGTGGGACAAACTCCTCTGCCCTCTTCTCTATGCCAGGGTTATGGAGGCCACCTGGGTCAGGTCCTGGTGCCCTTCACATTGCTTTTGCTGCAGAAGTGAGTGCTACATCTGCACCTCTTGGGCTGGGTGTCCCCGTTCTTGGGGGCTGCTCTGTATCTTGAGGGGCTGGGAGGTGACAGGAGCAGCTGGGACACGGTGCTGAGCTGGAATGGGAGCTTTAGGCTGGGAGCATCAGGGAGGAACTCACGGCTGGTGCTGTGGGATGTCACCTTCATTTGCAGCTGGAGGCTCAGCTCTGCACTCTGTGTGCTGTGATGCAATCAGGGACCAATGGAACAGCCCCACCACAGGGCCCATATGATGCCACCGAGTCATCAGGGGGGCATCTCCAGTGGGAGAGGGCACAGGGGTGTGTGGGTCATCCCAACCCCACTTGGGCTGGAAGTGCCTCCACGGCCCTGCTGGATGGCAGCAGCATCTGGAGCTCCTGCAGGGAGTTTGTAGGGGCTCTGGAGGTGTAAAGGGCCAGGAAACGTGGCTGCTCAGGGTCACAGCAGGGACCAAGGGACCTGTGCTGTGTTGCAGGGTTCCCCAGTCCCACCATGACATTCAAGCAAGCATCCATGATGGCCCCGGAGGCCACGGCCACCACGATGCCCATGGCCACCATGGAGAACTCCACCGAGGCTGCGGGGCCGGGAGAGAGCAAGGAGGACATGTTTGCCAAGCTGAGGGAGAAGTTCATGAATGAGCTCAACAAGATCCCTTGTGAGTGGCTGCCCCTCCTCCTAGGACCCCTTCCCCACGTCTCCGCAGGGTGTGGGGTGGTGGGGCCAGATGGGGCTGAACTGTTGTCCCTGCAGTGCCTCCGTGGGCCCTCATCGCCATCGCGGTGGTTGCTGGCCTCCTCCTCCTCACCTGCTGCTTCTGCATCTGCAAGAAATGCTGCTGCAAGAAGAAGAAGAACAAGAAGGAGAAGGGCAAAGGCATGAAGAATGCCATGAACATGAAGGACATGAAGTCGGGCAACCAGGTGAAGTCCTTCGGGGTGCTCCAAGGGTCTGCTGGTTTGGTGTCCCCAGGGCTTGGGGATCTCCAGGTGGATGGTGCTGTGCAGAACCGGACCATCTCCCCATTATGGGGTCCAGGAGGGGATGGGGGAAGGGGGTTTCGTGGGACCAGTGGGTCTGGGGAGTGATGCTGCAGTGCATATCTGACCTGTGTGCTGCAGCAAAGGGTTTCCTTTGTGATTCCCAAATACTAAAGGGATGCTGTGTCCCAGAGAATCACTGGGGCCATACAAACACCCAGCTCCCTGCCTTGCCCTGGGTCTCTCCCCAGTGCTGTCCGTGACATCACTCTTTTCCCTTGTGCCGCTCTCCCTGGGTGCTGCTCTGGCCACCAGGACGATGACGACGCAGAGACAGGACTGACAGAGGGGGAAGGTGAAGAAGAGGAGAAGGAGCCAGAGAACTTGGGCAAGCTGCAGTTCTCTCTGGATTATGATTTCCAGGCAAACCAGGTGCTGGAGGGGCTGGGATTTACCCAGGGTGTTCATCTGGGGAGGAAAAATCTCCCACCTGGGGCTGGGAGCCCGCTGTGCTGAAGGCACTCTGTCCCCTCCAGTTGACCGTGGGGATCCTGCAAGCGGCTGAACTGCCGGCTTTGGACATGGGTGGCACCTCAGACCCCTACGTCAAGGTGTTCCTGCTCCCCGACAAGAAGAAGAAGTATGAGACAAAGGTGCAGAAGAAGACACTCAACCCTGCCTTCAACGAGACCTTCACCTTCAAGGTGAGCACCTTGCCTGACCCCACAGCTGCGCCTCGCTGGGTGCTGAAGGCTCCTTGGGGCTCCATGCCACCGGGTGGCTCTTCCCTGTGCAGGTCCCTTACCAGGAGCTGGGTGGGAAGACGTTGGTGATGGCCATCTACGACTTCGATCGCTTCTCCAAGCACGACATCATTGGTGAGGTGAAGGTGCCCATGAACACGGTGGATCTGGGCCAACCCATCGAGGAGTGGCGGGACCTGCAGAGCGGTGAGAAGGAGGAGGTGAGAGCTGAGACGCGGAACGGCCCCACAGCACCCGGGATGGACCCACCTCGGTGCCGTGAGCCGGGTCTGACCCACTTCCTCCTTTCTGCCAACGCTCTGCTCGGCAGCCGGAGAAGCTTGGAGACATCTGCATCTCCCTCCGCTATGTGCCCACGGCCGGCAAGCTCACCGTCTGCATCCTGGAGGCCAAGAACCTGAAGAAGATGGATGTTGGGGGCCTCTCAGGTGGGTGCTGCTTGGGGGCATCATCCTGCTGACCCATCCCAGTGCTCTCAGAGTCCTTTGTTGGAGGCAGCCTGAAGTCTGGCTGTAGGGAAGATGAGCCCCCTGCCCCTTGGCAAGGGTAGTTTGATGCTCAGTGCATGACAAGGTTTGGTTTCATTGCTGGCATCTCCTGCTCCATCAGTGGGGCATCTGCTGCTCCCAGCCCCCCTGCAAGGAGAATCACAGCAGGCAGGGCAGCTCCATCCCTTGCCCAGCGCCTCCCTAAATTGGAAATATTTTGGCTTCGGCTTCCATCCACAAACCTCCAAACTCCTCACCTCCCAGTGCCCTCGTCTTGGGCTGAGATCTGCCCCAGGGTGTCCCATAGGTGTCCCAGCCCTGCTTGATGCCTCCCTTCCCCCAGATCCCTATGTGAAGATCCACCTGCTGCAGAACGGGAAGAGGTTGAAGAAGAAGAAGACCACAGTTAAGAAGAAGACCTTAAACCCTTACTTCAACGAGTCCTTCAGCTTCGAGATCCCCTTTGAGCAGATACAGGTTGGTGTGCTGACATCCCTGGGGATGTGGGTGGGGGGAAGTGAAGGATGTCCCGGCAGCCTGAGGCCTCCTGCTGAGCTGCTGGTCCAGCTGGAACCCAATCCCTGAGCCTGGTCAGGAGATGCACCTTCAAACCCAGCCCACGGCAGGGCTGGGGCTTCCATAGAATCATCCAATCATTAAGGTTGGAGAAGACCTCAAAGTTCATCAGATTTTTGCACCCCATCCCCCCCATGCCACTAACCACATCCCTCAGTGCCACATTTACCCATTCCTCTGCTCCTGGACCTGCAGTGCTCACCCCAGGTTTGGGAAGGGTGGCCACGTGAGGATGAGCGGAGTCCCCACTGTGACCCCGTGTCTCTGTGGGATGGAGAGGTGGAAGGACGGAGGGGACTTTGCCCCAAAAAAGGCCACTGTGTGGCTCAGCCCTGTGGGACCCCTGGGGCTCTGCCTTCCCGCCCCTCTAACGACGGCTTCCTCCTCCAGAAAGTGCAGGTGGTCATCACGGTGCTGGACTACGACAAGCTGGGCAAGAATGAAGCCATCGGCAAGATCTTCACGGGCTTCAACTCCACGGGCACGGAGCTGCGGCACTGGTCTGACATGCTGGCCAACCCGCGGCGGCCCATCGCCCAGTGGCACTCACTGAAGCCAGAGGAAGAAGTGGACGCAGCTCTCGGGAAGAACAAATAGAGGATCTGCAGCCGGCGCGGCGGACATTGAAAGCGACCCAGAGCTACCGATACCTCAGTTACGCAACCTTTGGTTTGGTTCTTTTTTGTTGTCGCTGTTCTGTTTTAAGCTGAAATACCCTTTGACAGCTGTGGAAGGGTTTCCAGACAGTCCCAATAGCTTCCAGGGGAAGAGGTTAAAGACTCGGATGGTTCTTTTCATTCTCCAGCATCGCTCCCTCTGGCTGCATGCCCCATCCCCTTCGCCCAACATCCCTCCCCACTGCTGCACCACGACCTCACCGCCTCCGTTCTGCCCACGGGGATCGCCAAGCATCGCTGCATGGAGGTGCCACCAGATGACCACACTCACTGTGCTTGCTTGGGGCTCCAGCACCAGCGCGGACATCCATGACCTCTGCGGGAGACCTGGCTGCCTCCCCTCTCCTGCTGTGCCTCCCGTGGGGTGAGAATGAGATGCTGGGCCGCTCCAGCTTTGGCTGCTGCTGGGGAGAGGTGCGCAGGGACGGCAGAGCTGTGCTGCAGGAGCTGGGGGGATGCAGGAGGAGCACGAGGACGGAGAGCTTGGAGGAGACGAAGCATAGGATGCAGTGTGGGCCACCACTGCGTGTCAGCAGGGGCTGAGCCACAGAGCTCCGCGTTTCCCATCGTGCTTGGAGCTGCTGTTTGCCTCCTGACGGCACAGCATAGAAACCCATTGCTCCAGATGCTTCCCTGCGGCTGCTTCACGTGGAGAGGTGTCTGAGTGCTGGAGGAGCTGCTGTGGGACCCATTGCCATCCGCATGGCTCAGCCCCATTGAGGGCACCCAGCGGAGCCCAGGTGGGGCTCTGGCAACTCCGGCCCTATGGCTGCATCCCACCACTGGGGGGCCGCATTCCCCCCCCTTCCCCATGGGCTGCTGCTCCCCAGGAGCCGACTGCTGTCACATCCGCCCTTCCCACTCCTGCTGGGTGGAATAAGCCATATTCCTGTTGCTGGCAGCAGCGCTGGTTGGGTAAGAGCTTCTCTGGATCCAAGTCCCCAAGCTGGGAAGCTGATGGCCTTGCCCCTGGTTCAGCCCGGTCCTTCCTGGGGCACAGTGTGTCCCCATGTCCCTGTGCAGCTCTCCCCAGCAGCTTTGTGCTTGCTGCTCTGCTTTGCTTTCCTGCACCCCAGGTCTTGTGGCAAAGGTCCTGGTGAGAGGAGCTCCTTGGAACGTCCTCAGCATACAGAGTTTGGCACTGTTAGGCTATGAAAGAGACTGGCATTCAGGTGAGCAAGCTTGCAGCAGAGAAGCAGAGTTTCAGAGTGCAGTGGGGAAGCCCCAGGCACTGGGATGCTGCCGGGAGTCTACACCTGGTGTCTTGATGCCAGCACCCCAAGCCCAGGTATGATGTGCCAAAGCTGAGCTCCCCCTGGGGCCATTGGATGCTTTGGCACTGCCCCCTCCTCCTCCCCCCCCCCAGCTGGAGGCAGGGAAGAGATGAGGAACTCAGCAATGAGGGACAGTGGAGCTCTAGGGGTGCAACCCCAGTGGGGGACACCTCCATCCTCGCCGTGGTTCGGGGTTCTGGTAGCCACAACTGTGGTGTGCAGTGGGGCTGGGCTGGGACCGGGGACCCCAAACTGCTGTCCCACTCCTGGGGTCCGTGTGCTGGGGCTGGGAGCAGTGGTTCCCTGGCTTTGATTCATTTCTTGTCCTGTGTCAGGGTGTGAACACAGCCGTGCACAGACCGTGTAGAGTAGGGAGGAGAAATCTCGGGGTGGCTTCAGTGAATGGGAGCGTGGGGCAGCAGCAGGAATCCCTCAGCCCAGACCCAAAGCCCCGGCGTTCCGTTGGAAGCAGCAGAGGAGCAGATGCTGTTCACCCCCTCCCCCCATGTCCCCCCTGCCCCATGCACCCCCTGCCTGCTCCCCATCCCTGCTGCACTTTGCAATTTCCATTTGGACTCTTTATGCTTCGGGGCAGGAGGGGGAACTCTGACTTTAATACATGATACGTCTTTCTTTATTTTTAATTTTAATAATAATAACAATTAAAAAAAAAAAAGGGACAAACCACCGACCTACAAAAGCCATCTGTGCTGCCTCTGCCCCCCCAGCTGTGTGTAGGTACCTGTATGGAGACGTCCATCGCTGTACAAACCACGAGCAGTGCATGAGCCCCGCAGCATGGCCCGGCCGTGCCCGAGCAGAGCAGTGCGGGCGACGGACAAAACTCATTGCCTGAGTGCTCCTCCCCCCTCCAAAAAGATGAAACAAAATAAAACAAAATCGTGCAGAAGAAGAAAATAGGCCAAGAAGCACCGCATGCCTGCAGCCCGCGGAGGGCGAGCGCTGCCAGCCGTGCCCTCCACCCGCGTCTCTCGTCCCCGTGTTTGTCGCGTTGTCCCATCGTGGCTTCGGTGTTCTGTGTCGCGTTGGTGCGTCTCACATCACTGCAACTTTAGAAGCCATATCAGACCGCAGCGCCCCG